GTGTTGCTCGGCTTTTTGTTCTGCCGATCCGAGTCCCTCGCGCACTAGCCCTATGCGCGACCAGCTTGCAACATGCTGCAATTTGCTGCAAAATGCTGTAACATGCTGCAATTTGCTGCAATTTGCTGCAACATGCTGTAAAATGCTGCAATTTGCTGCAACATGCTGCAAAATGCAGCAATTTGCAGCAACATACTGTTCGAGCTTATTGCTCGTACTATGTAGCAGCTTTCGTCAAACGTTCCTCCTGTCTTGACAGTAGGTGCGCATATCTGACAAGAGCTTAAAGTAACATTTAAGCATAAGTACAACTATAAGAGAGCTCTCTGCAAGAGTCCTAGGGTAATTTAGGGCAGGTTTAGCCTTATAGAGAATATTAAAGCTAAGCATAGCATCTAGGATAATAACACGTACAACTTTAGCAAGACAGGCTTTATAATAGGCTAAACATATATTAACTATACTTGCGCTTAAAACTTTACTTTAAGCTCTAAATAACGCTTTACAAACGTACTAGGCTAGTTTATGCTAACATGGCCTAGATTTTGCTTAGCACGCAAAGAATTAGCTATATTAGCTACAAATGCCATCTAAGGGGAAAATCCTCGCGCATATAGCTTAAGTATAGTCTTAACAATCACCTGCTTGTTTTTATTGCATAGCCTCTATAAGTTAGCTGTAGAATTAGCTTGTAAAAGTTGTCTAGCGCTGTAGTTATTTATTGTTATTTACAGGACTCTGTACATAGCTACAGCATGCTTCTTTAAAAGTTTTGTGTCTTATTTAAAAGTTTAGAGCGTAAACTATATCTCACATTCTTTTAGCATGTCTAAGTAGTGTTGTTAGGAATGCATTAGTGTAGAAAGGGTAGTTTAGTGGGGTCTTAGCAAAAGTAAGCAACTCAGGTGTGTGAGCAACTCGCCTGTGAAGTACGTTAACTTAGTATTTTTTTTATACTTATTCTTACTATAGGGGTATAATTAGTAGATAGGACGTCTAGCTGCTTTTAAAGCCTCTTCTAATATATAAACATAAAATAACGTATTTTACAAGCAAGTAGTCTACATAATGAAATAATTTACTTTAATAAAAATTATAGTACTTAAATTCTACTTGACTTTGCTACACCTATATTAATTTATAAAATAATAAAAGAAATCTAATTAATAATATCTACTTTATAAATAGTATATGTTTTAACTTAATAACTCTGTATCAGGAGAATGAGGGCCAAGAATCCGTTTGCGCATCTGAAAGCATGCCTTCATTAGTAAGATGGCCTTTTATTGCGGCTTTAGGACTTCAGCGTGAACACGAGGTTGTTCATACTGGTCAACATACTGGATGCTCTGCACCAAGTACCTCTCTCTTGGCTCCATCACTTACACTTCTAGCCCTCCAGCCTCCTTCCACCGCCCTTGACTCCAAAAAGTTGATTCCAGGCCCCAGGTTGGCCATGCTGGTGAGCGTTGGTGGGTGCTCTGCAGCCTATGACTAAAGAAGGCTGTCCTTGTCAGGTATGTTCGCTCACCTGGGCTCAACTGCCCCTGAATTATCAAGATTCAAACCTGGATATCTTTTTACAAAAGCCCGTATTTTAATTTAATTTCTCGCATGTCCCATTCCCTTCTCAGCTGCCCATCATCCAACGACCTGATCCAGCGAACTTGTTCACACAAGATCTCATTATCTCTCACCATGCTAGGCGGCGTGTCAAACACCCCGCTAAGTTCTCTTTCTACCATCCTCAGTCCCGCTTCTTGACCCGCAGGCCTCCGTCCTCCCTCATTCGGCCTGACTAACAAAGAACTCGCCGCTATCCATTGCGGCACCGATGGGACCGTCAAGATATCCACAGTGATAGTGTCGACGTCAATCCTCTTTTCATTCCAATTTTTAGGTGGAAATGGGAGCCAGGGCCCTTTCGTTAGGAACTCGTTCAGCATGCAGACAAGACTGTAACGCCAAAGCGCCGCGCAGCCCCTTTGAAGCTCATAGCTGCCGAAGAAGCGGAGAGTGATTTCGAGCCGGTTGACTCTGGGTGTGATCGCTGGAATCAAAGTTGGAGTCGCATAAAGCCGTCCGATATTTTCCACGATGCAATCAAGCCTGTACACTAGCTTGTTCACGCGGATGACCCCATGGAGGATTTCGCAGGCTTCAGAATAAATTTGCCGGTTTATGAGGAGAGATGAGCTGGATATTTGAGGCCGGGCATAGGCAACGCACTTGTAGCCAAGATTGCCCCCTTCAGTGGGGTCTCTGATGCTGTAATGAGTAGTGCGGCAATCGTCTGGTGATGAGGGACAAGGGGATGGTGTGAAGAGCACGGTTTTGTAGACTTGGTCGCGGAGTTCACGGGACAGGGAGAAGAAAGTCGACATTTTTGTGATCTTTGAGGGGCGAAGGCCTAGGAAGTGAGACGTTGGTCGGAAGATTCCGATGAGGTTGATGAAGTTATATAGAATTAAAAGTGGCTGAAGGCTGAACCTTACCCCACCTTACCCCGCACCCGTTTTCGAACATTAAATGGTCGGCGCTCGGACCCCCACGCAAGGACTAAAACGGCGGCAGTGTCCGGTATCTAACGGGAATCTAGGTGATTTAGCACTTGGTATCGCCATCGCTTGCAGCGAGGGGGTCGATCCGCTCCGGCTATATGCCCCCTTGTGAAGTGGCGAATCTACAAGAGGTGGGCTTGTTGACCGGCTGCTAGGGAGAAAACCGAGTTTGATTACGGGGCTGAGGGGCTTTGGTTGGCCCGCTTAGACTTTGCACAGCCACAGGTCTGACGGCCACGACCTTGTTCCGTTAGACCGCGTTACGATTATGTCATAATCCTGTGCCAGCCAAATTGGTCATCATTCCGATCAGAGGTACTGGCTGGGGTAGCGATCCTCTATGAATCAAGCGCGCCTCGCAGCCTTACAGCTAATTATTACTTCTTAGTAGTACTATTAGATTCTCCAGCTTCTATAGAGATGCCTATAAGGTTGCGACAGTAATGCAAACGTAGTGGAGGCCTTCTAGCGTACTGTGTTTTAGCGTGTAATGCACGGCCTCGCGTAATGCACGGTTCTGCGCGAAGCTGTTAAAACTTCAACCACCTCTCTCTTAACTAATATAGGCAGTATTAAGGCTGCTTTAGAGTTGCTAAAATTGCTAAAACCTAGAGAATTACTAAATTATGCTGTAGTAGCTAAGCAGTATAGTGTTAATTAATCTACACTCTTAAGGCGTTACTAACGTGTTCCCCACCTGCGTGCAGAGAAACTTAAAAATTAGTAACTACTTAGCTGTCACAATTGTGCACGAGTAAGGTTATAGAGCTTCACAGAGGTCTAGTTTAATTACTACGTGAGGTATTATAGTAGGTACAAGACGTTGTGTAAGAAACAGAAAAGTTTAAAAAGAAATTAGTAATTAAATACTTAGCTTAAAAGTCTAAGCACTTTAAGTATAAATTAAGCTTATTCTAAGTTTAGTTAGTGTTAAGGCAGTTTATACTTAAGTTTATATCTATGTTATGTTATGTTTATGTTAGATGTGCACTAATAATACTCTAGTACACGTCTAATACAGTTATGTCTAGGATCTAGAGAGGATACTGTAACAGTACCCCCCCTTTTATTAGAAAGGGACTTCTTTACATTAGTAGTTCTAGCATTAGGTTGTTTTTATTAAAGTATAAGTTTAGTTTAGATAAGTATTAGGCGTAGAATTAAGTTACTATAGAGTTCTTTTATAAGGCTTTTATAAGTTTTTATAATAGTTTGTTATATCTAGTTTATTTTATAAAGTATTTATAAATATATTTCTTTTTATTAAACTAGATTTATTTAATGTTTTTTATAACATATTTTAGTTTATTATTTATAATAATAAGTTTAAGTAGCAGGTTTAGCTATTTAGGTAGATAGTTAGATTTAAAGGCTACTTAGCGCAGCAATAATACGTAGAACACAGGGTGTATCTTTATGCTGTTAAGTAGGATTAATTAGTAAGCATGTAATAAAACTATATAAGCTACTATAAAAAAGCTAAAGTTCTTTTAATTAAGTTTTTTTAATTATTAGTTTATTTAAATATTTCTAGTGTCTAGCTAGACCTTCTTGCTAGCTACATACATAAAGGCAGAAGTTTAAAATTAGTTTACATACTCTTATTAAAAAGCTTAAGCTTATATAAGCTTTTTATAAACATATTTAAATATATTTTAAATTTTATTAATAAGTCTATTTACATCTATTACTTATATAGATTAATAAGTTAGTTAAGAAGTATTTAAAAATAATTTAAATTTTATTTAAAAGTAGTATTTATAGTTTACTAAAAATAAAGATACTTATATTAATTTAAATGTTATGTTATTAGCTTTAAACTATGCTATAGCTAACTATTTTACTTAGTTATTTTACTAGTAGTTTATATATGCTTATAGGACTTATTTTATTACAGTGTTTATATTCTTAGTCTAGCTATTAGTCTCTAAGTAAAAAGCTGTAGATAGATAGAAGATAATTTAGAGCTATTTATAAAGTTTATTCTAGAAGGCTAAGACAAACTATGTACCTCTGTCTAATATAATTATGTTAGGCAGGCTATAGTAAACTTATACATATTAGTAGAATAACTAGGCTATATTAGAGGCAGTTATAAAAAAATATAGTATTAAGTGTTAATACTTAGTTAAGTAATTAATAACTACTATAATATTTATGTACTTTTTAGATAAAAGTAAGTTTATAATAAAATTAATTAATATGTTTTTTTAAGCTTATTTAAAGATTAAAAGTAGTTTAAGCAGGCTATTATACCTTTTTTAAAAGGCCTTTACTTTACAGTAAGTATAGCAACATAATACATATTAGCGTACAGTATAGAACATGCAGGGCTAGTAGTACTCTCTCTATAGTAGGTTAAGAGTCTTTCCTCTGCCTAAGTGTCCTTTAACAGGTAAGTTGTGTATAATTTAAAGTAGTTTAATTCTTAGTTTATTAAAATTAAAAATTATAAGTTAGTTATAGTAATATAGCTTACTATTTTAGTTTTTATAGTTAGCTAGTGTTATCTTTTTTAACTAACTAGCGCTATTTTAAAGCAGGTCTAAAGTTTCTTAGATAAATTTATTATTTAAATACTTATTAGTAATAATTTAATTAATTATTTAATTTATTTTATTTAAGTTAAGGTCTAAAAATAGCTTAAGTTAAAGTAAAGTTTAGTGTTAAGCCTTTTATACTTTTTTTTAAGTAAAGATGTTTTAGGATTACTTTATAAAGGCATCTAGTTTCCCTCTATTTTAACTAGGATAATAAGTAATCTTAAAATTAAAATAAGATAAGTATTTAAACTAATAGGCTTATTAGTAGCTAAGTTATTTTATAGTTATAAAGTACTATAAGTTTTTATAGTTAAATAAGACCTATATTAGATGCGCTGCACTTTCTAGTTTAGGTTGCTATTATTTAAAGTAGTATACTATAGTAAGTAATTTCTTATTATAGATCTTATAATTACCTTCTATAAGACTTATTCTTTTTAAGAAATATATAATAGGCCTAATAGTCCTATCTAGCTTAGTCTAGAAGAGAACTTCTACTACTATGTAGTCTAAGGCATTAGCTTCTATAAGTATTAGTAGTTTAGAGTTAAAGTAGTAAAGTATTAGAGCTTTAGTAAAGGCTTTTTTTAGCTAGTTAAAGAACTATTAGTAATTTAAGTTAAAGTTAAATTAAATCTTTTTTTAATAAGTGTAATTATAAGGCTTACTTGCTATAAGAAGTTATTAATAAATTATTAGTAAAAGTTAGTAAATTTTATAAAAGCTTAAACATCTTTTATGTTTTTTAAGTATTACTAATCTAGCACAGTTTAAACTTTAATAAAGTCTATTTAAATGCTATTTATAAAGATTATATATCTTAAATATGTAACTTTTAATTAGTAAAACTTACATTTGTTTATGTTAAGTTATAGACTTGCTTCTTTTATAGCTTTTAGCACTAGGCGTACATGCTATTTATGCTCTAAAAGGCTATTACTATAAATTAGAATATTATTAATATACATAGTACAGAACATGTCTAGGTAGGGTTAGAGCAAGTTATTTACAAAATGTTAAAAAGTACTAGGCGTGTTAGCTAAGCTAAAGGGCATTACTAAGTACTTAAATAGTCTGTATTAGGTCTAAAATACTGTTAGCTACTTATTACTCTTTACTATCTTTAGCTTATTAAAGGTAGTAATAATATCTAACTTTATAAAATACTTTACTTTACTTAGTTAGCTTAAGGTTTTTTATAAAAAAGAAATTAAGTATTAGTTTTTAATAGTAATAGTGTTTAGTCTTTAGTAGTTAATGTAAAATTAAAGCCTACTTTTAAGTTTTTTTATAAATAGTATAAGTAACACTACTAGTAAAAAGCTAGCTTAAATAAACTTTTTTTTAGGTTTTTATTAAAGTATTTTTAAAGCACTTTTAATTTGTTTAGTAACATTCTATATAGTAGCCTATAACTAGGTTGTTTACTAGGCTTAAGAGTTATTTAGTAATTATATAGACATTATATTAAAAGCTTATTAGACTTATTTTAAAAAAAAACATATAATAAGTTATAGTAGTCTTAAAAGACTATTATTTTTAAGTTAGTGCATTTTTAAGAAGCTAGAGCTTAGTCTATATTAGAAATTATAACTGCGTAGATTTTATAATCTAGTTATTAAGCTAGGGTTATAAATAAGGCAGGTCTTATATAGTAGATGTCTATCTGCTGTTTAAGTCCTAGTTTATGTTTAAATTAAGTAGGTAAAGATTTTATAAAGGCTTTCTTTTCTTTAAGTTTAAGTAGTTATTAAATTATTTTACATAGCTTATTTTAGTAAAAGGCCTAGCTTATTAGCCTTACTTAAGTAGTTCTTTTTTAGGTTATTAAAAAGTAGGTCTAAAAACCTTTTATATTAAGTGCTACTTAGGTGTTATTTAGGTGTAAGCGTAAGCATATATTTTAGCATTAGAAAGAGTTAAAGTTTAGGACTTACTTTTAGTAATTAAAGGCAACCTTATGCTAATACAGCTATAGTTATTTTAGGATTAAGTTATAATGTTCTATGTTTATTACATAGAGCTTAATCTACTTTTTATAGTGTTAGTAGGTAATTATAATAGTTATAGTATAAAAAATAAAACTTTTTTTAAGTTATTTTTTATTAAATCTAGTTAAGTAAATTATTTAAGTAAGTAGTATTAATTAAAAATTTAGTTTATATGCTAGTTCTTTATTAATGTAACCTATGCTATTTACTTCTAAGTTAATAAGAGCTTGTATTAGAGCTAATATAGTTTTTTATTATAAACATATAAGAATATTAACTTAGTACTTTT